GACAAAATATTTATTAAATGTCTTGTACAGGCCGGGCTTTGTGCTGGCGGCTGGGGATTGTGGCCTCTATCTTTAATAAACTCTTAAGTCCAGCAGGCAGAGGAAAACATGGAGTTCAGTGTACTACAGAGACCTCTGCTAGAGTCGGGCATGTAGCTCATCATGCGACATCATGAGACTGAGCCCCTGCTGCCACCATGTCAGCAACAAGGGACCAGGAGACTCTCCAGGAAGGAAATGACATTTGAGCAGGACGGGTCCAGGAAGGAGGAGGAGGAGGGACGGGGAAAGTAGATCCAGGAAGTGATGCTCAGCCATGGCATGCAGTCCAGGGGTGTCAGGAGGAGGTGGGGAAGCCAGGAGGCTGTGAAGGCTCTAGAGAGAAGGCTGAGGACACTGGATGTGTCCTGTACACATCCGGCTTCATCCGGAATCTGTTGTCACAGGACAGTCCTGACCTCCGCCATCCCTGTCAGAATCAGCAATCATGCTTCTTCCCCATGAAAAGCCAGACTCCCTGCCTCTGGGCCTGGCGAAGCCACTCCATAAATGTCTGCTTGGAAAATTCAGTATGCTAATGAGGCAGTTATCTGACCCACGGCACACAGGCCCATCAGTTAGCCTGGCTAACTGGATCTCCTCTAAGGAGCTGCAGAGCAAAGCTCTGAATGCACTCTGGCCTCGCCCACGTCCCCGCCCCACCCCGGAGTTCCCACCCAGCTGATTATGAACCCAAGGACCTCATAATCCTGTATCGGCGTAAATAAATGCAATGCAGATAATAAAGAATATTTACCATTTTAATGAAAAATTTACAGAACCGAAGTTCCAGCGTAGTACAGGAGGTAGGAAGGAAAAAAGGGCCAAGCCGCTCTCCGCGCGCCCATTTATTGGCAGGCATTCGCCCGAGGCCAACCCCGCCCCCTAAAGGGGCTGTCTTAACCCTACATCTCCCCCTTTTGTCTAAATAAGACAGAACTAAACCAAATATAACTATAAACAATAATAACAAATGATAAATATAACAAACAATATTGAGAACAAAAGTTTTGCTAGAGAGTAACTACAATTAAATAATCTTCAACTCCATCAAAGATCTGAGAAGGGAGTAAATATTACTTAACAAATGAGAGATATCCAAAATGTGCAACAAATGACTGAGACAACTGACTACATGGGCAATCACCCAAAATCTCGTTTGCAATGTTGAGTCAACCAACTTTGGCTAAGGCCTAACATAACTGACATACCATTATCAAATGCAAGGAACTTTCTTAGAATTATCCTACCCTGTCTTGGCAAGATAAGACAATCCTGTTTCATATCTTAGTCAGTAGTTGAGGTATGGGTTTTTCTTAACCCAAAGGCCAGTTTTGCCAAGAAGACAAGCTCCCAGTGGAGTGTCTTTGGTGCTCAACGTTCTCTCGGGAGTAGAGTGGTGTTGCCAGGAGTAATTGTGTCTCAATGGCACAAAATTCTAGGTTAGATTAAAGGCCATTTTCTACAGCTCTTCAAAGAGGCTGAAGATTATACTATCTATACTAAAAATAATCTCTATGTATCTAAAAGACTTGAATAACCTAAAAATAATATGACAAACATATAATTCTCAATACCTATCTAATTTGAAAACTAAGAGAATAAACAACTGTGCAATATATGAAGACAATGATCTTCACCTGTAAACAATGTCATTACATATCAAAATGTAAACAATGTTATTACATAAATAGTACCAGAGGTAGAAATGTACATTGTGATATGATAGATGTATCCATACAATATAAGCATACTCTTATACAAAAATAGAGGTAGGAACACTCACATTCAATATTCAATATATCAATATACAAGAAACAGTACCAATATAATTTTTTAAAAACAGTAAGTCACAAATACCAATCATCCCATAAAACCAATTAACCCCCTCTTTTTTTTTTGAATATACCCCTAATTCCATACAATATCTCCCCATCCCCTCAACCCTAAACCAACCACTAAAAGATGTCCCTAACCCTGTGGGCAAACTCTGTTGGGAGAGGGGACGTCGTCCTCTTAGATTGCTTCTAGCTGACATGGGGGCGACGTTCTTCTTAGGGGCCCCTGTGAAAGCAAATGATGGTAAAATTCCCAAATTAACCTTTGAGTTAAGAAAATTATAAGTAGTCTCTGAGTGTTTTGAGAAGGTCCAGCCAGAGTGTTGTCAAAAGTGTGCATCATTCGAAATTGTCTCTTGTCCCCAAATAGGATAAATGTTGCCTTCAGAGTCCCGTGAAGCTCAGGAAAGGCCTGATCAGGCAGTAGATCCTGTATCGGGAACACCACAAATCCTTTAGGTGGAACTGGGTGGCAGAGCCCCTCTGCAGCCCTGGCATGCTGGGTATTGCCTATTGCCCCAAGTGGCTGCTTGAATAGTGCCTTTGTTGCACTTTTTCTTTAATTTACAAGGAGACTTTCCAAACTGTGACTCAGAAGCTGAGCGCTGGCCAGGCGCAGTGGCTCCTGCCTGTAATCTTAGCATGTGGTAGGGAAGCAAGAGGATCAGGGATTCAAGGGCATTCTTGGCTATATGGCAAGTTCAAGGCCAGGTGAAGGCCCCTGTTGTCAAGCCTGAAAACCTGAATTCCATACCTGGGACCCACATGGTGGAGACATAGAACTGATTCTCATAAGATGTCCTCTGACCACACATATTCGCATAGTGTCTGCTTACACACACACACACACACACACACACACACACACACACACCATAAATTTTGTTTTAAAAACACTGATTAAGGGGGCTGGAGAGCTCAGAGGTTAAGAGTATTGCCTGCTCTTCCAAAGGTCCTGAGTTCAATTCCCAGCAACCACATGGTGTCTCACAACCATCTGTAATGGGGTCTGGTGCCCTCTTCTGGCCTTCAGGCATACACACAGACAGAATATTGTATACATAATAAATAAATAAATAAATAAATAAATACTTTAAAAAAAACACTGCTTAAATTAGGAGCAGGGGTTAGGAAACAGAGCCACGTGCCTTTAATCCCAGCACTGGGGAGGCAGAAGGCAAGCAGATCTTTGTGTGTTCAAGGACAGCCTGGTCTACAGAGCAAGTTCCAAGACAGTTGGGGCTACACAGAGAGACCCTGTTCTCTGGGGGGAAAAAAACAATAATATATATATATATATATATATATATATATATATATATATATCCAAATTAGGGGCAGGCAATATAACCCAGCAGGTAAAGTATTTGCTGCAAAGGACTGACAAGCAGAGTTTGATCTCTGGAGCCCACATAATGGTGGAAAAAGAAAACAAACCCAACACAACTGTACTCAGACCTCCATACGTGTCTTGGCATGCATGTTCCATATCACACACACATGCACAATAATGATAAATAAAATTTAAATCTTAAAAATATTGACTAAACTCTGCCACAGTGGGAGGTTTCACAGAACATACTCTGATCAAGGCCCTCTGAGCTTGCAGCCATGCTGGTTCACAATGGAGTCACAAAAGCCTTAGCTCAGCTAGAATACCCTACTGAAAAAGAGACCATTTTATAAGCCTTGGGATGGATAATTCAGACAAATGGTGAAGCCACGGGGAAAGACAATTGAAAATGGCTAGTGTTGCTCCAGAATGAAATATACATCTGTCCCACAAGGGATGACAGAGTGGAGAGTGTTCAGATGTGGGGGGCGGCCCTGGGGGCAGTGTGGGGTCTCACGGCTGTAGGCCCTCTCCAGCTCTGCATCTACGAGTAATGTCATTACCTCTGTGATCCCGTGCACCAGAGGGGGACACGTGGAGCCCGAAAGGAAGAAGAAACGCTTTAATGGATGGAAAAGGCAGCATGAACAGGAGTCTAGAGTCATCTTCCAGCTTCAAGGTTCCAATTTGTGACTGCAGGTTCTGAAAAGGAGCCAGCTGCTGGCAGACCTGCACAGCTGGCAGAATGCAGCTCAATCCTCTGTCTCGGGACACCTGGTAGGTGTGCAAGGTGGAGTGGAAACGAGGACAGGAAGGGCATCTGAGGGGTCAGGGTTTAAATATGCTGTACATCCTTCCCCCCAAACACACACTGGACAATCACACACATGCATGCGTATTTCACAACCTATGCACACAGGCTCACAACCACACATGTGCACTGAGCAGACACATGCACACATATGCATACATACTTCACTTCAACAGCTGGACTTGAGGTTAGTAACAGAGACAAAGACCTGGCAACTTTAAAGCCTGATTATTCCCACAACTACCCATTCCCCTAGATGCTGGTGGCAACAGTCTATTATTGGGGACGTAGCTGCCTCCTGCTCCTCTCCATGGCCTACACATCTAGAGAAGGTTCATGGTAGCCTAAGACACTAACCTCAGAGCAAATGCCATTGTGTCATTCAGGAGCTGGGGAACAGAGGACAGCCATCACGTATGCTCTGTGACTGTGGGTAGCTGCCTCTGACCATCTCTACCTGACGCCCACCTCTTCAACCCTTCTTTAGTCCCAAAGTCTCTTTTCTCCCACTGTATGCTTTCCTCCCTTCAATGCTAGCAGAGAAGGACACAGGTTTTTGCCCTGGTCCCATAGACCTCTCATTACTAGGCCCCTACTCCAACTGCAGCTGCCCATACCCTGGCAAGTAAGCACCTAAAGCATCCAACTCGGTCTGGAGGATATTCTCACACTTGCCCTTCCTGCCTACTCCACTTGATACCCACCAGTCAAATGCCCCTTTCTTTCCCAGCTAAAAGTTGTCTGTCTTTTGCCAGGCTCCCTTGACCCTCAGACACCTGGCCTTCCTCTTGGTCTGATACCTGACCACAAAAATCAGCTCACAGACCCATCTTTCCTTTTTGTTCCTCTGGAGCTAGAATGCCCTTGTCAAGGTCCCGGAATATAGATTTGCAACTATGATGAGAGCAAGGAACATCATCCCTGATGTGGCTCCTCTAGTTATCATGTTTCTAGACACTCTCCTTTCTCTGCCCCTTAGGAGACATGGACACCACGGTGCCTGCCCCACACCCATTGAAAGGGATCCTCACTTCACTCGCCAGGACCCTACTGTCAACCGTTTTTACTGTAAGCCACCCATTCTCAACAGCCACAGTATTCAAAGCCAAAAGAAAGAACCAAAATAATCCTGGAATATTTAAGAACAACTGCTTTTGCAGTTTGGGGTGTAGCTCAGTTTTTAGAGTCATTTCCTAGCGCGCACAACGCACTGGGTTACATTTACTGATTAAATGGGGTGTGGGGGTGCATGCCTGTAATCCCACCACTTGGGAGATAGAACCTGAAAGATCAGAAACTCAAGGCTGTCTTTTGCTATGTAAGGAATTCTTGACTAACCTGAGCTGCATACGGCTCTCTCAAAAGAAAATGAGAAAGGGAAGGAGGGAAGGAGGGAGGGAGGGAAGGAAGGAGGGAAGGAGGGAGGGAGGGAGGGAAGGAGGGAGGGAGGAAGGGAGGGGAGAAGGAAGGGTGGGGAGAGAAAGGAAGCAGGGAGGGAGGGAGGGATGGAGGGAGGGAGGGAGGGAGGGATGGATGGGGATAGAGGATGGAAGGGAGGGAGGGAAGAATGGAAGGAGGAAGGCAGCAGGGATGGACAGATGGGGGATAGAGGGGGGAAGGAAGGAAGATTGCCTTTGCCGTGTGCCCCTACATGCAGACAGCCATCTCCATTCCACTCTAACCCTTCCCCTCAACTTCTTACACTGAACAGACTCCAATAAATTACTATTGGGACCCATCTGAACATAATGCCCATGCCTTGTTCTCCCCTTGCTGAGTGATGGGTAGCAGAAAGCTGCCCACAGGTAGGAGGGCTAAGCTGGTCCTTAGTTCTTCTCCCCACTCTAGGTACTCTCTCTCTTGGGAACAGAAGATCCTACCTGCTTGACAACTCTTCCAATTCCACCCTGCAAGAGTCCCTGGCTGCCCCCATGGGACTGGAGGATAGTGCCCCTAGTGTTCAGGTAAAGTTAATGACTCCAATCAAGCCCCAACTCATGTCACCAATGCAGCATCGTCTAAAAAGATCACAACCATTTAAAAGGACTATGATGCACTTACTACATGCTAAGCACGAGACTAAGTCCTTAGTTCAGATCTTCTCAGGAACCCAGAAAGGGGACTATTTGCAGGTAAGAACATTGCAGCTCAGACAAGTAATTTAAAAAAAAAAAAAGTATTTATTATATATACAGTATTCAGCCTGCATGTATGCCCTCAGGCCAGAAGAGGGCACCAGATCTCATTACAGGTGGTTGTAAGTCACCATGTGGGTGCTGGGAATTGAATTCAGGACCTCTGGAAGAACAGTCAGTGCTCTTAATAACCACTGTGCCATCTCTCCAGCACCCAGACAAGTAACTTTCTAGTTGACACTGACAAATGTTTACTCTAGGAAACTAAGATCACCCCACCCCCCACACACACATACTCTCTTTCCTCTACTTAACCCCAGCAATGACCCCTCTGACCAAGTAAACTTCCCAGCAGAGAAATCAGCAGCCTGGGGTTGACCTCCAGAGCCTAGAAGGGGAGGAAATCGCGCCAACAGATGTTAAATACCGCCTTCAGCTGCTCGAGGAGGTTCCACTGCAGAGAAAGAGCTCGAATGGACACAGCCAGCACCAGTCAGAATGGAATCCGTTCAGCAAATCCCACAGAGAATGGCTCAAGCCCTGGAAGATGGAGGACGTGCCACACCACAGGGGCGAGCCCTTCCATGCAAGTGAGAATTAATGGGGGGGGGGGTTAAGAAGGAGTGGAGGATGACGTTGAACATAAAGCAAAATTTGAACCCCCGTTCTCAAACACCTTGTTGAGTCCTATCCCGGCCCCCAGACTGATCTCAGTGGAATACAGTACAAGGCAAAGGCTTGGTTCAGCAGTAGCCCTTCAGGCATTGTCTAGCTCTGGAAGGTGTCACACCACTTACCACAGCACAGCCTTCCCTCCTCCCTCTTCCCTCCTCCCTACTTTGGCTGGGCCTGATGACCGTCCTGCAGGCCAGGCTTTCAAAGCAAAGGAATGGACAGAGGCTGGGAGGTAGCTTAGTCCCCAGCGTGCCTGTCTTACAGGCACAAAGCCCTGGGTTTGAGATCCATTATTGCATGGTGCAGGCACGGTGATACATACCCCATCACTTGCAAGGTAGAAGCAAGAAGATCAGAAGTTCGAGGCCATCCTCAGCTCCCTATGTAATCCTTCCAGGTCACATTCAGGGCAGAAGAACAGCACCAAGAGGATATCAGAGCCACAAGGGGTATGTCAGCCAGGACCAGAATAACATCCAAGTTCCAATGTGGAGTCAAGTCCTCTCACTTTGTCTAGACAAGAGCAGTCAGGGGAATGTATGAGTATCTAGAACTAAGAGCAATCCTCCAGTGGGGCAGTATGGGTGGGAGAAAGGCAGGGAGGGGCCTGTTTCCCAAGGGTCCGGTAATATTAGAAGTGCACTATTTGTCACCTCAGAAAAACAGTTGTCAAGCTACAGAGCAAAGGGCTCAGTCTTCAGAAATCTTGGAATTCCCTCTAGCTCAGCTTTAACTTAGACCTTTGACTTCACCTGAGATTTGAACAAGGGCAAACTGGTATGGGAGCGAGGGTCCTAAATTCAGGGTCAGCCCCATCCCCTGTGTATTCACGGGAGACATAAAGTCCCCACTGCAAACTAGGAAGACCCAGGCTTCCCAGTCTCACTGGAGTACAGAGCATCTTTGTCCTGGCCTCTGTCCCCAGACAGCCTTTTAATGCATCCCTACCCAGTTAGGAAGCCCAGCTTGAGCCCAGAGACACCACTGTGTGCTTTACAGATGATGTGTTCCTCAGAGCGACCCGTGCATCAGTCTAGTTACACAAAGAGCTATATACCCCACCAGCAAACACACGTCCAAGCTCTCTCAACCCCGAACCCCCATTCTCTAAGCTGCCTGCAGTCCCTAGCTGCCTGCTAGGCAGTGTTTCGTATGCTCCAGGTGTCCCATCCTGTGGCGGCAGGTGTCTCATTTTCTCTGCTAAGACATAGCATGATAACAGAGATGTGGAGAAGAAACTTCTTTCCAGAGAAGCAATAAAGAAGTTTTCATTTGCAAGGACCCGAAAATATATTGTTTCATTTAGGCAAACCCACAAATGAAAGGCCAAGAGGCAAGCCCAGACTACAGGGCCCTTCTGTTCAGGTCATCTGAGTTGGCTCAAAGGGAGAGGTGACCACCACTAGAATCTTTTGTTCCCTATGCAGCCAATCCGCACAACATGTGTCAAGGGAAATGGCACCCGGCTGGCCCACGACCCACGCACATAAGGATCTAAGCCAGACAAAGCCAGGGATAGCGAGTATGGGGACAAAGAGCACTGCCAAGTTTGATGAAGCCACAACATCCAGGGTAAAGTGCCCAAGCTTCCCTGTCAAGAGGTAACCAGGCCTGGGGTGGCAGAGGGCTTCCTCAACATCCATGAAACCCCAACTCTGATTACCAGCACAGTATAAACGGGGCATAGTGTGGCACTCAGCACTTGGAAGGTGCGAACAGGAGGGTGGGAAGTTCAAGGTCATTCTTGGCTAGTCTTAAAGCTGTTCTGTCTTTCTTTCCCAGGTGTCCTGTCTGCCACCTCTCAAGCTCCTGTCAAGAAGAGTCAAGAGCAAGTGGCCCCCACACACACCTGGAATCTTCCAAGGCAAATTCCAAGCTGAACTGACTGGCAAGCACTTCTTCCAGGACTGGAGGGCTCAGCCCCAAGGGCACTATGGAAACAACGAAAAACCCCTGGTAGGAAGCTGGGGCTGTGGTGGCACATACCTTTAATCCCAGCACTTGGGAAGCAGAGGCAGGAGGATCTCTGTGAGTTTGAGGTCAGCCTGGTCTACAAGAGCTAGTTCTAGAACAGGCTCTAAAACTACAGTGAAACCCTGTCTCCAAAAAAAAAAAAGAAAAAGAAAAAAGAAAGAAAGAAAGAAAGAAAGAAAAGAAAAGAAAAAAAGAAAGGAAAAGAAAAACCCCTGGTAGGAACTATACAGCAGTTTATTTAAAAAAAAAATCAAAGACCAAAAAACCCTTTTTTATATTATTATATTTTCTGTGTATGGGTGTTTTGCCTGCTTGCACATCTGTACACCACAAATGTGCCTGGTGCCTGTGGAGGCCAGAAAAGGGCATCAGATCCAAGAAACATTTGTGAGCTGGCAGCTCCTAACCACTGAGTTGCCTCTCCAGCCCCACCACCAGGCTTGGTAGTGGATGACTTTACCCTCTCAGCTAGTATCTCATTTGCCTTCAGAGAGATTTTGAACAAGAGTATTTCCCAGTCCTGCTTACTAAGTACTAATGATCCTGTTTTTATATGTTATTATGATTATGATTATTACATGCCTGTGTGTATGTCTGGATGTGAGTATGTACATTTGAATGCAGGTGACCTCAGAAGCGAGAAATGTCTGAGCCCCAGGAGTTGAAGTTACCGATGGTTATGTAAGCTATTCAGCTTGGGTGCTAGGAACCAAACTCAAGTCCTCCACAAAAGCAGTACCTGCTCTTAACCACTAAGCCATCTCTCCAGCCCCTAGAGATTCCATTTTCACCTAAGGCAGAACAAAAGCATGCTCCTTGTGATTCCTTAACTGACAAATTGTGACATGCAGAGGGCGGGACTTAGTCCTCTTTCAGCTGACTGCTCTGTCCCCTCCCATGTGCTGGGTTTGCAGGTGGCATTTGAGGATCAAGACCACACCAGGCTCACCTACATGCCCTTGTATACTGGAAGAGTGAAGTTGTATAAGAACAAGAGCAATAGCATCAAACACAAGACCAACACTTTCTCAACTGAGCAGGAGAAATCGATCAGGTATAAGGGTGAGACCAGTCCTTCCCAGGCACAGTACCTAAGTCTGTACTGGCAACCAAGGACTAAGTCAGGTAGGACTCAGCCCTAGCTTGGACCCATAATCTCCCTGCCTGCTTTCCAGGTCAGCGCCAGAATTTTGGCCTCAAAAAAAGAACATCTGGAGAAAGAGACTGCCTGAATAACTTCTGAGGAAATACCATAGAAGCTGTGCCTGTAAATCCCAGCAGTCAGCTGAGACAAGATTGCTGTAAGTTCCAGGCCAGCTTGGGCTGTAGTGTGAGACCCTGTCATACATGTGTCCCAGGCGTGATGGCACATAACAGCACGTGGGAGGTGGAGGCAGAAAGATCCCTGTACTACTTAAGGAGTTTGAGGATAGACTGGGCTACATGAAACCCTGAATTTAAAAAAAAAAGAAAGAAAGAAAAGAAAAACAAGCAAGCAAACAAAAACCCCCAAAGATCTCTGAACCACCTTCCTCATCCTAGACTCAGCTCTTAGACCAGTTGCCACCATTCTTAACACCATCCACGTGATGTCTCGTGATGGCAGCAGGGCACGGGTGAGTCATGTCTTGGGAAGGAATGCTGTCCCATATGTCTCAGAAGGGCAAGCGTGTTCCAGAAGACCTGAGAGGGAAGGTCAGTAATTTCTCTAATCAATGAGGCAATGGCAAAGCACCCAGGCTTCTCAAGAATGCACCACCGATGAATTATATTCTGCTCAAGCCACCTGAGGGGCTGCTCCCGGTCTTTCTTTTTAAAGTGAGGTAGACTGCACACACTGTAAGAGTAACCCTTTTAACATGTACAATTCTGTGGTTTCCTGTGTTGTTCATTGATTAGATCAGTGTGGAAGTGGCACACACCCTTATAATTCCAGGGTTTGGGAGGCTGAGACAGGAGGATTACGGTGATTTCAAGGCCGGCCTGGGCTACCTAGTGAAACCCTGTCTCAAACAAAATAAAATCAAAGTTAAGAAAATAATTTTAGACCTAAGAGTAGAGGAGAGACAGTGGATGCAGGAGAGGACAAAAGCTTCTGAATTTTCTTAAAGGGGGGGAAAATGGGTGACCTGACTCAGAGGGTGAAGTCTTACCGAGCAAGCCTGATAATCTGCGTTTAATCCCTGGAATCATGATGGAGGGAGAGACCTGATGTCCCAGGCTGACCCCCACGTGTACACTGGCATGTCCATATCTAGATACACATGCTCACATACACAAACTTCATGCATGCAAACGCATTATACCACACAATGACAATAAAAATTTTAAGATGTCTTCCAGGTACAGGAAGGTCCCCCCAAACCCAAGAAAGACTTTGATCAAAATCTAACTACTAGGTGACTGTCCTGAAAATATGTTCCTAGGTGTGGCTGGGGAGTCAAGGTATTGGAGGTAAGCTTCCTTATCCTTGGGACTGCTCAAGATACACTCTTTCTTTCTTTCTTTCTTTCTTTTTTTCTTTTCTTTTCTTTCTTTTTTTTATTGAGACAGGGTTCTCTACATAGACCTGGCTTTTCTGGAACTCACCATATAGACTAGACTGGCCTTGAACTCACAGAGATCCACATATTTCTGTCCTCCAAACACTGGGATTAAAAACTAGCGCACCACGCCCAATATTTTTAAGAGTATGAAGACCAGGACACTACCAGCCTCAATTGAAAAAAGGCATGCTGCACTGCCCTCTCGTGACCAGCCTAGGGAATGACAGCCAGCTGCAAGCTAGGCAGGCTAGGGATCTCTGGAGAGAGGCACAGAAACCCTATACATCTTAATTAAGGCCGACTAAGTGCAAAGCCTACCTGAAACAGAATCCTTATTCTCTTCCTACACTTCAGTCTCTGCTTGAAAACACGATAAACTCCTCTGTGGTGAAGGAAAGATGATTAAGGATTTCTAGAACACCTGGGTCTAAGACAAACAGTACCTTGTCCTTGAGAAACTGTGAGACCCTTAAAACTGCAGTTAGAACGTGAGCCAGTAAGTCAAGACCACCACACAGAAGGGCTGTGACGATGGGTTAAAACTTGAATGCGTTCACCGCCACCTGAATCCAAGACAAGGGGTAGGTTAGACCTCCTGAAGAAGAACCTCAGAAGCCTGGGTCCGGAGCCTGAATTCTTTGGAGGCAGTTGAAAGGCTTTAAAAACAATTTTAAAGGGCTGGAGAGATGGCTCAGTGGTTAAGAGCATTGCCTGCTCTTCCAAAGGTCCTGAGTTCAATTCCCAGCAACCACATGGTGGCTCACAACCATCTGTAAAGAGGTCTGGCGCCCTCTTCTGGCCTTCAGAATATTGTATACATAATAAATAAATAAATATTAAAAAAAACAATTTTAAAGCTTATACTCTTATTTCCTTTTTGTGTGTGGGCAGGTGGATACAGGCTGACGTGTGTATATGGAGGCATGTATGGGGATGTGTATATGGAGGTGTGTACAATGGAGGTGTGTATACAGAGGTGTGCATACAGAGGCGTGTATAATGGGGGTGTGTATAATGGAGGTGTGTATAATAGAGGTGCTTATATAGAGGTGTGTATACAGAGGTGTGTATGGAGGTGTGTATATGGAGGTGTGTATACTGGGGTGTGAATACAAAAGGTGTGTATATGGAGGTCTGAGGACAACTTGCAGGTGTCAGTTCTTTGCCTCCACCATGTGGGACCTGAGAATCAGACTCAGGTCATCAGACTTGGCAGCAAGTGCCTTCATCACCGAGCCATCTTCCTAGCCCTAAGGGTCTTTTCTATTTTAGTGTTAGAGGACAAGTTTAAAGATATTTGTAGAGACAGCACAGTGTATTCTTTACCCAGTTCCTCTAATCGTAAGCTTTTATTAACTATTGGACATCACAAAACTGAGAGACACAACACTGGCAATTTCTATGAACTAAACTGTAGGCCTTATTTAGACTTAGAAACTTTCCCATTAATGACTTGTTTTGACTGGTTTTGTTTGTGTTGTTTGTTTGTTTGTTTGTTTGTTTTAAGACAGGGTTTCAAGCAGCCCCAGGTTGACCTCCAACTCAATGGACACTGTGAACTTCTGGTCCTCCTGCATTTTCTTCCCAAAGGATAGGCAAGTGTCGTGTCTGGTTTCTATGTGCTGGGGACCGAGCTACAGCCCTAACCCCTTGTCTTTTCAGAGGACCAGATGAGCAAGAGGTTTAGAGACCAAAACAGCAGCTCTGGCCCCAACGGTCACACTGATTTGTAGAATATTTTTCTACTTCAAATATGGATTATATATCTGATCAATCTCTTTCTTTCCTTTTTTTTTTTTTTTTTTGAGACTAGGTCTTATGTAGCCGAGGCTGGCCTCTAGCTCATTATGAAGCCAAGGATGATCTTGAATTTCTTCCTGACCCTCCTGCTTCAGCCTCCTGAACACTGAGATGCCGAGATGCTGGCTATGGGGATTTACAGGTAAAATCTCAGAAGTAACAGAACCCTAAGGCCAGTACAGCTGCTGTGGGAAGCCTGCATTAACTTCCCATCAGGGACAGGATGATCTGGGAAGCGCCTTCATTCATTCCCTGGAGGTATAATGCTAACTTTTTTTTTTTAATGACAGGGTACCGAAACTGCCTTTGAACTCCTGTCCTTCCTGCCTCCATCTCCAAAATTCTGGGATTACAAACACATCGCCAAACCTAGCTTCTGTCTTCAGTGTCTTTTTTCCCCCATAATTTTATTGATTCTTCAGTAATTTCACATCATGCATCCCAATCCCACTCACTTCCCAGTCCTTCCATATCTACACTCCACCATTATAACCTCCCCCTGAAAGAAAATTAAAATAAAAACAAACAACAAAATGAATCACCAGATGAAGCAATTATTTATATTGTTCTATTATTAAATAAAACTCGGGAGTCAGATATTAGGGTAAAAACTTGATAGATCTGAAAAGTGACGAAGGAACAATCAGCTAACCCTGCCCCTCCACACTTCCAGACTGATAAAATCACACATCTTTCTAAGGCCCTCCTAGCTCAGTCCTCCAAAACCTCTATGTCTAATTCTGGCCAGCCGAACATTGACTTTGCCTTCTAATTCAAGGTTTAATTTTATTGGAAGCCTTGGAGTGTCAGTGAGAATAAATCTCCTGAAATATTTCCCCCTTTTTGTCTAAATAAAAGGGAATGGTTTTAACTCTAATACAATAATACTATATACAATAGGAACAACTATCAGGTATTGCCTATATAAAAAGGGAAGGTTTTAGCTTTAATACAGTACTACTATATACAATAAGAACAACTATCTGGTATTGTCTAAATAAAAAGGGAAGGTTTTAAACTTAAACTGCATAATAAGAACAATTCTCAGAATTATATTCACAATGTCCAGGCCATTTGCATTTGGCAAATTCAGAGAATATACTATCTATCCTATACTGGTGAGTCCAAATTTTTTAACCTAATTCACTTTCTTTTTTTTATTTTTTATTATGTATACAATATTCTCAGTGCTCTGCCTGCAGGCCAGAAGAGGGAACCAGATCTCATTACAGATGGTTGTGAGCCACCATGTGGTTGCTGGGAATTGAACTCAGGACCTTTGGAAGAGCAAGCAGTACTCTTAACCACTGAGCCATCTCTCCAGCCCCCTTAATTCACTTTCTATCATATACTACCATCCTAAAAATATCTTTTTAGACATTAAAACATTTTCTTAGATAAATAACTTAAGCTTTTATATTTCTCAACCTTATAAACTTTAAATCTCTTTTGTAGATTTTTTTCTCTGAATTTGATAACAAAGAAAACTGTAAAACTATAACTATCTATTTATTCTTCAACCCTGTCAGAGACTCAAGAAGGATATAATATTGCCTGAGTAAGCAGGAAGTGCAGAGGAAATGACTTCCCAAACTATAGAAATGACAAAGACAGCCGACTGCCCAGACAGTCACCCAAGTTTCCTCTGCAACATTGGGGCATCCATCTTTGACCTAAAGGCCTGGAATATCTGACTCTTTTCTGTGAAGCAGGAATTTTAAAGAACAGTCCTACCTCATCTTGGCAAAGCTCAGTAGTCACTTCCTTTTGTGTCCTGCTTGTCCAATTCGGACATCATGCTTTCAGCAGTAGAGGCAAGGCAGTTTCTTGCCCAGTAACTTGCCACAATAAAAGCAAACTCCTCCATATAGAGGTTCTTTGATGCCCATCATCTGGG